TAGAGTAGAGTAGAGTAGAGTAGAGTAGAGTAGAGTAGAGTAGAGTAGAATAGAATAGAATAGAATAGAATAGTTGGAAGGAACCTTGCAGGTCATCTAGTCCAGTGGTCACCAACTGGTGGGCCGCCAGAAAGTTTTGGTGGGCCGCAGAGAAATGTCACCCTCAGAGCACTCCCAAAATCCAGGCTGTGCAGGAATAGAAGGCTGCGCTGCCCACATGGCCCACAGGAACCCTCCCTGCCCACTCACTCCTTACCTGGCAAACTTGCTGGCTAAGTTGCTATTTTTCCTTCCCCCCCACCCCCATCCATCAACTGTTCTGCTGTGCTGGGAGATTTAGATCAGCTAGAAAGCAGGAAACCATTGGATTTCTTGCTTTCTAGTTAATCTTTAGATCTTCGGCTCTACATTTAAGCAGAGCTGAACCTCCCTTAGGACTGAAGGTTCTATTGTTCAGTTGCAGACTCAGATAGCCGATGACAAAACACAGATCTCTAAATGAATCTGTGATTCTGTGAGCAACTCAATCTGCCTGCCTGCTTTGCCTGATTTTGAGTAAAAGTTGCTCTTTTAAAATAAAAAATTCAATATTTACATACATGGTGTGTTGTGAGATAATTTTGTGAGTTTGCTTGCAAGCAAATTTTATGTGACAGACTCAGGTAGCTGATGGCAGAAAGATAGAACTCTGATTTCTTATTCTGTGAGCAACTCAATCTGCCTGCTTTGGCTAATTTGGGGTAAAAGTTGCTCTTTTTTAATAAAAAACATTCAATATTTACATAAATATTTATAATATTTACGTACAAGCCATGCCCAGCCAGTCACAGGACCACTAAGCCACACCCACAGATTAGGCCACTAGCAAGATCCAGTTGTTAAGAAATTTGAATCACATCCCTGCCTCTGTGTGGTTTTTTTGTGCGTGTGTATGGGAGAGAGTGAGAGAGATTAGATATCTCTCTCTCTCTCTCTCTCTCTCTCTCTCTCTCTCTCTCTCTCTCTCTCCCACAAACATCAGCAAGCCACCACCAGTCAAATTCATATTAGTGGTCCCCAGGATTTAAAATTATGAGAGGTGGTCCCTGAGGTCCAAAAGATTGGCGATCCCTGTTCTAGTCCAACCCCATTCTCAGGCAGGAAACTCTATGCCACTTCAGACAAACGGTTGTCCAATCTCTTCTTTAAAATGTCCAATGTTGGAGCATTCACAATTTTTGGAGGAAAGTTGTTCCATTGATTAATTATTCTATCAGGAATTGTTTTCTTAGTTCTAAGTTGCTTTTCTCCTTGATTAGTTTCCACCCATTGCTTCTTGTCCTGCCGTCAGGTGCTTTGGAGAATAGCTTGACTCCCTCTTCTTTGTGGCAGCCCCTGAGATATTGGAACACTGCTGTCATGTCACCCCTGATCCTTCTCTTCACTGGACTAGCTTTGCCCAGTCCCTGCAACTGTTCTTCCGTATGTTTTAGCTTCCAGTCCCCTAATGCTCTTTGTCGCTCTTCTCTACATTCTTTGTACAGTCTCACCATTACATCATGATGACCCAAACTGGATGCAGTATTCCCAGTGTAGCATTACCAAGGCATTATAAAGTGGTATTAACACTTCGCGTGAGTCACGATCACCTTAAGCAACTGAGTACAATGTTAGTAAAGTGATGTTTGGGGGTATGGGGAGGAAGAACCACAATCCAGATATTGCCAAGTTTTCCTCCATGCCAGTTCTGTCACTTGACTCTGCCCAAACTCGAGCCTTCCTACTCTCACTTCCTCCCCAAAAGGATTCATTGTTGAAGGAGAAGTTTCTTTTCCAGAATTTCAGCACCTGGACAGCAACACCAACGGGCCTACCGTCCTTGTCCTATTGTTTCTTTTTTATTTTTCTTATATGTATCCGTTTCATGTCTTCAAAACTATGTTTATACTTATACCTATTATCTTGTAAGAGATTGACAAATCAAATAAATAAATAAATAAAATAAAATAAAATAAAATAAAATAAAATAAAATAAAATAAAATAAAATAAACTTTGAATCCCTACACAGGACAGATTAGGAAAATCCAGGTTTGAACTAAGCCAGAATCTCCAAACGACTAGCTGAAGAATTCTGGGATTCTTTAAGTTGCCAAATCCTATAAGGTATATAGATAACGTCATTGTCCTTAGACTGTTCAGACCCACAGTCCCTTCCAAAATATATACAACAGCGAGAAATACAATGAATCACTTAAGAAGTCGCAAAGCCCCCTTTCCCCGCACCTCAATCTGACTCCTTTGCGTCATCAGCGAGCAGCCATTGAGAAAAATGGGGCGGGGCGCACTCGGTAGCAAGGACAGGTCAGCCAGAGGAGAAAAGGAAGTGGGAGCGGGAATGGAGCGGGAGTCAGCCTCTGAGTGGAATGGAGGCAGGCAGATGAAGATTTTGAGCCCCCTCTTTTCTTTTGTGTGTGTGTATGCTAGGCAAATGTTTGATTTCCCTACAGTATAATCACTGCCTGGCATCTATGACTGTGTGCACGCTGGCCCTAATGGGCTTGAGGACAGTGGCCACCTTCGTCATCCTGCTGGGGAATGGTGACTGTGAGTAATAACAACAATGATAACAATAATAATAGTGATATGTTATTGTGGCATAAATGTCTATGGAGCTTCTCAGTCATCCAGGTCATCACGTGGGATGTCGCAAAGCCCTCTCCTCCCCCCCGCCCCCCAATCTGACTCCTTTGCTTCATCAGCGAGCAGCCATTGAGAAAAATGGGGCGGGGTGCAGTCGGTAGAAAGAAAGGTTCAGCCAGAGGAAAAAGGGAAGTGGGAGTGGGAAGTGGTTGTCCCAAAGGTGCTTTTTTTTTTTCAAGAGGCAACTGTACTTTCTGGTTTTTCTTTAAAGACGTTTTGCTTCTCAGATAACAGATAATCAGAGTTGGAAGGGACCTTGTAGGTCATCTAGTCCAACCCCCCGCCCAAGCGGGAGACTCTACACCACGTCTTACAGATGGGAGTCCAATCTCTTCTTGAAAGCTTGTGGGGGGTGGGGGGTGGGCTGGACTAGACCAGGGATAGCAAACCTTTTGGACCACCAAACTCATAATTTTGAATCCCGTGGAGCAGAGACCCTGGGAAAATCCCCCAAAAAAATGTCTGCAGGAAAATTCCCCATCCTGTTTTCCTACAGATCCATCATTCTTTATTTGGGATTGCAGGATAATTTCTTCAGCTCCATTCTCAGGGGGAGGGGCAGAGGGAGGGGGAGAGAGAGAGAGAGAGAGAGAGAAAATGAGAGTGAGTTTTGGCTTTATGCAAGGAAAGCAGCAGAAGCAGCAAAAGTCTTTCTTTCTCTCCCCCAAACTCTGCCAGAAAT